ACAACTTAATTCTAGCCCAAGAATATGGGGAGGGGGTGGGGAAGGGGAGGGGAGAAGGGCAGCTGGGTGGTGGGAGCGTGACCGGAAAGATCACCTATTTATCTGTCCAACAAGGGTACAAGTGAACTTTTCTAGAACTAGAATATAAATGTTTTGACACAATGACTAAGCAAATGACATGAAATCTATGTTAACAAGCTTGATGAAAGTATTTCAAATTGTATATGAAAACACTACACTGTACCCCATGTATGCATTAATGTATACAGCTATCATTTAATAAAAAAAAAAGAAAAAAATAAATACCACAAACTCTTGCTATTCTTACTGAGCTCTACTAAATGCTCTTGAATAAATGTTTCTTCATTTGCAGTTGGTGGTAGAGGGGACTGGTTGAGAAGACAAGCTTTACAAACTGACTAGGAGAGGGGATTCAAATCCTGGTTATGTATGTGATTGTGGCAAGTTACTTAACCTTTTTGTGCCTAATTACCTTATCTGCAGATTAGAGATAAAATTAAGAACTTACCTAGGAAGAATATTGAGAGGAATAAAGGAGTTGATGTACATGAAGCACACAGCAAGCCCTCTGTCAGTAGGAACTGCGATTATGAGGGTAAGATGCATTAAGAGAAAATTCATAGAATATGTGTCAGGGAGGCAAGGGTCAGGGAGGAGCAGCTGGTGGAGGAGTCTTGTCTGGGCTTATCCTGGGAGCATGGGATTCTGAGAGTCAAATGAAAGCCTCGTGTCTAATATCCCAGTGATACATTGAGGCTCAAACACTGGCAAATGAAGGCAGATGTTAGGTCTGCAGGGGCCCAAGGTCAGGGCTTGAGATTGACAGGACAGAGCCAAGAGTTTAGAGTGGAACTGAGGTGAAAGTGCAGGCAAGGGCTGGGAGCCCACCTTTGTGGGCACTAGGTTTGTGGTATGTGGGTGAGTTAGGCCAGTTAGGATGGAGCAAGTAGGACACAGGGTAAACATGAATAAAGGAGGCATAGCAGAACTCCTATTGCAGTATTCCAAAAGGTAACAATCAACTTAATCTATTACTTCTAGTGCTTTATAATTAAAGAGAACTCTAGATAAGTGACAGTCATGAATTTACAAACAATATTGCAAAATCTATGAATTACAACTTTTGCTGGATTTCAACTCTTCACATTTGCAAGATGGTTAGCTTGTCAAAACATGCTCACATCTACTAACTCATTGGTTACTCCCAGCATCTCTTGCCTATAGGTGAAGACACAGCAGCACACAGAGGTGGAATATCACCAATGTCACACAGCCAGGCGGAGGGAGGTACAGCCTCCTGACCTCCAGCTCCCCTCTACTGGGCCACACAGTCAAATAAATGCATGACCTTTGGCCAGCAGAGTCACCATGGAGCATAGGCAGGAGCTTGTGGGCTCTACTAGAGTAACAATCACCATCTAAATGTGAAACAGATACCTTTTCTAATCCTGCAGAACCTCGGAGAAAGAAATTCCATTCAGCATCGGTTAGGTGTCCTTGCTGACGCATGATCTCAACACAGAGCATAAAGCTGTAGATGAGTTTATGTTGTTCAAAAAGTCCTCTTGAAATGTTGACATAAGCCGTTAGGAGAGTTTGTTCCAGCAGTATGTTCAGGCGCTCTTGTAGATCTTCTTTCTTTACAGAACTTTCAATGGTCGTATTGAACAACTGTGTGAAAAAAAGCACCTATCAATATCTCCGATTTAATTCATTCTCTGGGGACAAAAAAAAACCCCCCCTGTCCCAACCCCAACCCCCGCCCAATCAACAAAGAAAAAACAACAAAAGGGGGAAAATCAAGGCAACCCCAACCAAAAAGGGTGGGAAGGTCCTGGAAAACGGAAACTCAAAAGAAAAGAAGGAAAAAAAGGCCCTGAAAAAAGGTGGAATCAAAAATGGTTCAATAAAACAATGAAGAAGAAAAAACTGGTTTCAGTATATGTCACTTCACTTAAAGTTACAGTTTCCAAGAACCTATCAACAAATTCAGTGAGGGCTAACTGTGCTGCTCTATGAAACAATCTAGAATTAATCCCAAATTATATTCTGTACTCCCCTTTCTCCTCCATGTTTTAGAAATGGAACAATGCCCAACCCTCAACATATTCAAAAGGCATTATCTTGATGTGAGACATTAAACTTGGGAAAATGAAGGTGAGCTAGCAAGATGAGTTTTTTCATATCCTCAACCACAAGGCAAGGTAATGCACTCTTCTTAGCACTTTCCCAGGATAATTCTTAGGGTACTGAAAGAATGTGTTAAAATATTTCTCAGAATCTAAGAGAAACAGATTTTAAAGGAGGCTTCCACCTTCCTACCTAGGAACTTTTTTTTTTTTTTTTTGAGACTGTGTCTTGTTTTGTTGCCCTGGGTAGAGTGCCAAGGACTCAGCCTAGCTCACAGCAACCTTGGAACTCCTGGGTTCAAGTTCTCCTCCTGCCTTAACCTCCTGAGTAGCTGGGACTACAGATACCTGCCACTATTCCTGGCTAATTTTTCTGTTTTTAGTAGAGATAGTGTCTTGCTTTGCTCAGGCTGGTCCTGAACTCCTGAGTTCAAGCAATGATCCCACCTTGGCCTCTCAGAATGCTAGGATTACAGGTGTGAACCTTCATACCTGGCTACTACCTGGGAATTTTGAGAACTGATCTACTCCAAAGGTGCTCTACATGACAAGAACACTGGGAAGGCAGTAGAGATGGTGGCAGTGAAGGATTAGGAATTAGAGGGCTAGAGGTAGTCCTGTTTCCTGTAACTTCTAAGTGGCAGGAAGGAGGACCTCAAAACTCCCAAGGATCACAAGCTGTGAGAGGAAACTAAACTCATGGGCCTGCCTAGAAGTCATGGGTCAGGAGAATCTTGCAACAGAGGCTGCAGGGAAGTCCTACCAGGGTTGAGAGGGCCTATGACTGTTGTTTTAGGATCCATAGCCTAAGGGGTAGGAGATAATGTACTCCTCTTGATCCCTCTTCCCTGGGATCAAGATACATTGCTCAAGGGGAGATTACGGATCAAAAAAATTGGAAGCTAGAAGCTAGATGAAGACCAAGACAGATCAAGGGCAAGAAGTGAACCTCACTCCTTAGAAATACTGGTCTGCAAGTATGGAGACCTCTCTTTCATCTGCCTCCTCTTCCAACAGGATGGAGAACAAAGGGAAAATAGCCCAACTGGGTCAGTCTCCTAACCAGAAAAGATAGGTCTCCATTCCCTCGAATTAAAAGGGTTTAGAAGAAGCATATAATTATTGTAGAGAATTGGGGAAGTCCTTGTTAATTCTCCTGAAATTATTGTTGACAAAGGGCAATAGGGGTTGTTTTAACATACTCAGGAGGAAAGAGGATCCAACTTTCTTTAACAACTTGACACAAAGCAGGGAGGTTAAAGCCCAGTGAAGATGCAATAAGTTTGGTACCAAAATAAAACAGAGCAAATGCAAACAGAGCAAATTCTCCAAATGCCCTAGAAAATTACATAGTGAAAAGGAATTATGGATGGATTTGGTAGAGGGTGTCCTGGCCAGGGCTGCCTTCTACAGATATATGTTTGGGGATTCTGGTTTTTCTTCTAAGCCACAAAACTCCAGAGCTTTGATGACTTATCCTATATCCTATTTCTTTTTTTTTTTGTCTCAGCCCAAGATATTTTTAGAACATCTTCACTTTCATTTCTTGTAGAAGATTTTAAAACCTTGAAAAGCATAGATTCCAAAATGCCTAGGATAAGAAAAATGTTACCATAGTCATTTAGGTGGTGTTAAAGGATTTACTAATCCTTACTTTGCTTGGCTTAATACCTACCAATTAAAGGAAGGCAGCAGAGATGTGAGAACTCAAAAGTCCTGCCTCTAGGAACTGAGATTTGATCACAGTACAAATGGCTTCTAAAGGCTGCTAAAGCAAAAGCACATCTTGTTGAAAGAGAGCTGACGTAAACCTAAATGACATGACTAATTTATCTTAATCCTTTGTTTCTATTCTCTCCAGTAGCTGTAATTGCTACTGGACCCCCCAATATGTCACGAATCCTAAAAGACTTCTAGTGGAAAAACCAGGCTTGGTCTAGTGTCATATAAGAATTGCTTGGGCCATGTGCGGTGG